TCCGCCGTCGTCCTAACCTCATGCCGTGTCATCCTTTATCTGATGAACTACATTCCGAGTGAAAAGCACATCACCTCTTTATGCAAGAAGTTATCTCCACCCCTCGTCACATTGCTTTCCAAGCCCCCCGAGGTCCAATATCTGGCACTGCGCAATGCTATCTTAATTCTTCAGAAGAGACCGGAGGTCTTGCGGAATGACATCCGAGTGTTCTTCTGCAATTACAACGACCCAATTTACGTCAAAGTCACCAAGCTGGAATTGATGTTCATGCTAACCACAAAAGAGAACATCCCGATCGTATTGGCGGAGCTCCGAGAGTAAGAACTTCTCAGATTGATCGTATTAAGCGCAAACTGACCTCCTTCGCAGATATGCCACTGAAATTGACGTTCACTTTGTGCGCAAGGCCGTCCGGGCCATTGGCAAATTGGCAATCAAGATTGAATCTGCCGCAAAGCAGTGTATCGAGACGCTCTTGGAGCTGGTCGATGCCAAGATCCCATACATTGTCCAAGAGGCAACAGTGGTGATTCGCAACATCTTCCGCAAATACCCCAACCAGTATGAAAGTATAATCAGTCATGTTATCCGAAACATCGACGATCTGGATGAACCTGAGGCCAAGGCAGCCGTCATTTGGATCATTGGCCAGTATGCAGACCGCATCGATAACTCAGATGGTCTCCTTCAAGATTACTTATCCACATTCCACGACGAAACGGTCGAGGTGCAGCTGGCCCTGCTCACGGCTACCGTCAAACTTTTCATCCAACGCCCCACTAAGGGCCAGAAGCTCGTACCACAAGTACTGAAATGGTGCACTGAAGAAACAGACGACCCTGATCTTCGTGACCGTGGTTACATGTACTGGCGCTTGCTGTCAACGGACCCAGCAACCGCCAAGCAGGTTGTGATGGGCCAAAAGCCCCCAATCACAGCCGAGAGTGAAAAGCTAGACCCACGCACTCTGGAGGAACTGTGTCTGAACGTCGGAACTCTAGCCACCGTCTACCTCAAGCCCATCCACCAAGTCTTCCGTGCTGCCCGTCCTCGGCGTCTCCTACCCAGTCCAGCCTTGCAACGTTCCCAAATCGATGACGGAACAGGTAACATGCTCGAATACAACCCTCCCTCAGCAAACATGGCCGCCGCCTCAACCAGTAATAGCGGTCTAGCCACAATCATCACTACAGGTGATCCCGTCACGCCAATGTACAATGGGCCACCTCCTCTTCTTCCTGTCGCGCCGGGCGTCAACCCCGCAACCACAGGCCCCAGCAACATGAACGAGGCAGCAGATGCAGCAGATGCTTACTTCAGTGGTATCGGCTCTCAACAAATGGCCTCGATGGATCTTGATGGTGCCGGTGGTGGAGGTGCGCCTCAGACACAGTACGTTGTGACTCAAAATCAGCAGCAGGGATATCAGCCACAACTGGCTGGTGGAGCTGCAACGGGAGAGCTATTATTGTTATAATTCAGTCTAGAGAGAGATGTTCTTGTACATGTAGATAGAAGGCGTTTCTCATGCGGCCAGCGCCTAGTAATTACCAAATATTTTCATTTCAGAAATTCAAGTTTCTAGGGTTTCTTTCATCCACTCCCAAAATGACAAAAATCCTATCCTAGAGCAACTCCAGATGTTGCTTCCATGGAAAATTTGAAATATGTAGAGTATTTCTCGTTGATTTAAATGCTTTCATCAAGTAACTGTTTTTCTTCTACCTGACACAAATACTCTCCATGCTGTGTTAACTATCTGCCTTCAAAGAAGCAGCAACAGCAGACCAGGGTGACACATGAAACAGCGGACGCCCACCAAAGAAATCGCAATAATCCAACTTGGATTTGATTTTGAACGGACCAGGAAGCCTTGAACTTCCATGATCTATGAACGGGGGAACACTCGAAAAATAAAAAAAGGAAAACAAACAGAAACATGAAACATGAAGGGGAGGGGAAAGGGGGAAAGGGGATGAGAGCAATGAGTATAATATGGAAAATAAAAAACAAAGTAGGCAGAGAAAAAGAAAGAAAATTCATCTCAAGTCATGTCCGTTCCTCTTCTAAGCAGAAGACTCCCACCACTCTTCGCTTTTTTTCTTTTCAACTCTCTCGACACACTTATGAAACACAGGCCTCGCCTAGTAGACGCGAGCGAGGTTGCGCAGGTACCAGTCGACCAGACGGCGGCCGGCCTTGGTCTCACTGACGTGGATCAGGTCGTTCTCAAGGGCGTAGTCGAGATCGTTGGCGATAGCAGGCTCGCCATCCAGGAGACCACCGTCGACCCAGCGGATCTGGCGACTGCGCTGCTTGTTAACGAGCAGCCACGAGCGGAGCTGCTCGGGGGACACCTCGAGGAAACCTGCAAGCTTCTTGAGGTCCATGGTGGTGTAGAGCTTGAGGTAAGAGCGGATGGTGGGGTTGAACAGGGTGTTCTTGACCTCGTCCATGAAGATGGCGGTGTGGTGGTCGACGGGGTCGACGTTGGAGGCTGGGTTGTCGAAGTCGGGAGGGGTGGGGTTGATGAACTTAGGGCAGGAAGAGCGGAAGAGCTCCTCGAAGACAGGCAGAGCCTCGGGGCCACCCTTCTGCATGCGGTAGAACTGCTCGCCGTACTTCTCACGGACGGCCGAGTGGATGGTGTCATCCAGACGGGTGGGGTGGAGAGCGACACAGATGGCGATCAGGGCGTACATCTGGTCGTTCTTCTTGGCGATGGCTTCGTAGTTGTTGCCACCCTTCTGGAAGTTCTTTGTCCGGGACACATACACGAGAATGTGGCTGAACATGCGGATGGCGTCACCGTAGCGGCGCATCATCATATAGGAGAAGCCCACGTAGTAGTAGGTGGTGAAGTGGGCGGCCATCACGCGGGCGAACATGGCCTTCTTGTTCATCTCGACGTCGTCGAGGATCTTCAGGGCAAGACTGAAGTCACCGAGGAGACAGTGCACGCGCAGCAGTCCGATGATCGAGAAGTAGCCGAGCATCTTGTACAAGGGGCGCGATCCGTACTCGCCGGCGACAGCCATTGGGTCCTCTCCGCGCTTGGTGGCGTTCAATTGCTCGCTGATCTGCGAGCGCTGAATGAGAGAGTAGAGCACGTTCAGCACTGAGTAGCAGCCCCATGTGTTCGGGTTCTCGCGGAGCAGCTGGCTCTCCTCCTCGTTGGATCCAGTGCGAGCAACGCGGTTGCGGTAACGGCAGAAGGATTCGAATTGGTAGATGAACTCATCAATAACTTCCCAAGCCCAGTAGTACTGATTGTAGAGAAAAAAAAACATCGTTAGTTTTCTGTATTGCGTTTTGAGGGATGAATCAACCTGTTGATTTTCTGAATGCCAAGCTTTTACTTTTCATTCATGGCATTCAACAATCGGTCGGCGGAGACGGGGATACCTACGTTAGGAACTTCCAAGTCCACGGGGCCATCGGAGTTCAGGATATAGTGGAAGAGACTGCAGTAGTTGTCGTAGCTAGCGAATTTGGTCTCGAGAGTAGCCTGGTATTCCAGCGGGGTGGCGGCGGCGGCCAACTGGGCCTGGAGGTCCTGAGTCTGCGATGCACCGTGGGACAAAGTCTGGTCCAGCTCGCTCATTCCATCGTCGTAGTTGACCTGCTCGCGGTAGTCGTTGGCCATAGCCTCCTCCTCATTATCGGACTCATCGTTCAAGTTGGGGCGCGCATTGGCGCGGTCTTCGTAGGACATGTTGAGTGGGAGGGGGAAGAAAAGAGATAAAAATGCAGCAAGAGGCCGAGATGAAACGGCAGTGAGAAAACGGAAGGGGCGAGGTGGGGAGAGGGGGGGTATAGCGTCGGCGTGTGCGATTTGCCAAAGAAGTCGAATTTTGAGGGTTTTCGCTTGGGTGTTTGTGCTTATCTTATCTGCGCATAAAGTATGGAAGATGACTCAGCTATGCCAATATCTAAGGTTTGTGCATGGTGCACTCAGTACAGTGTAAGTACCTGGTACAGAAAGCATCACCTGTTTTGGCTAGAAATCCTTGTACTGTCTACTTCTACACCGAGTATAATTTCAACATTGCTATAGCTTCACAACCACCTACATACTTAAGTACCTACACGTGTAAGTAGAAATTTGATAAGTAGTATGAAGTAGTAAGTAAATTTTCTTGAATGTACAACATGCTAGTCGAAGGGGGCCTAGACATTCTGAACGGACTTGATATAAAAAGTGATACTGTATACTTAACTCTCTCTCTCTCTACTTCCAACACATGTTTGAAGGCTATCTCGGTGGACTAGCTCTACTTAAATACTTAAACTATGTGTCTACATTTATCTACCTATTTCCCTCAAGTAAAGTGTATGGCAATTACAAATATAAAAGCCTAACAGACAGACGTAATAGGGCCCAACGGTGCCACAGCAGACAGAGGCCGGTTGGCTTTAGCATATTACCAAGTCAGTTCAACTCAGTAACCAATTTTGTACTTTCTAAAAGAATTCTGTAAAGTCCAGCTCTAGGTAAAAACAGGATTTCTCGAGTATGTGATTTCATTAACTCGGTAGATGTGAGATATGTAAGGAGACACTTCCGGTGGATCAGAGGCCAGCAACTGGTTGGCTGTCATCGGCCAACACTCTTCTGCAGGTGACAGCCCCTTCCCTCCCCCTCAGTCACCGTCGGCACCTCTTTTCCCCTTTTTTTTCACACAAACCACAGACAGTGATACTGCACATCATCATCTCTGGACCGGAGTGCCAGGAAGGCAGAGATTTCACTAGCCATCACCGAAGAGTTAGGTAGGCCAGTTCAAATTTTTACTCTGCCATGACGGTTTTATAGGATATTGTAGCTTTTTCTCAACACCCTCGTTTCAGCCTTACCGTCGTAACACTTCCACTCCGCATCTCAACCTTTGTTTCACCCAAGTCTGCAGCAGGATGAAACTGTTTTCCAGTATCTTTCATCTGGTAGCAGCATATATGGATTCGTACAGCCAAAAACACAGGCGCCATGCTAATTTTCAGGGTTCAAGACTCCTCCACTGTTCCGGATCATCGAAGATTGCAATAGCCTCAGGTGGCAGTTGCACGCTTAGGTGCAGCGCGTTCTTCCTGATCTCATGAATCACGTCGGCTGTTTGTTTGAACCTGTAACTAAGAGCGGCTCCAAACCGACAGAGCTCAGCAAACGCCTGTCTTGATTCGTCACTTTCTTCCAACTCACGAACCAAGACCCGGAGACCGGTCTGTACGGCGTCGACTACCTGGCTGGGTATATGCTTGAGGCCATACGACTGACGGTAGATGCGAAGACATTGCGCTGTTTCCTTGGCGGACTCAACCTGATAGTACCGGGCATCTCGAACAGATTCTGGCTGATGAGGGTCTTTCAACATCTCAAACAGATATATGATAGCGTGGAGACATTTGATTCTTCACGCGGTATCAGCACAGAAACAAAGTTGGGGTGCATGCAATAGGAAGCGAAGATAGTCATGCTTACCGCAAGAGAAGGACTTGTGGGACCGAATTTCGTTGTATCTCGGGCACACTTGGCCAGCGTCGCAGCCAAGAATTCAAACGATCGAATGGGTCTTGAGCTTTGTTCCACAACTCCTTAAAACTTGCACCCCGAATTTTGTCAGAAACGAGCTTCTGGACATCAACTAAGATTATGTTGACCTCAGCCAGTCCATCCCTAACTTGAGGCAGGCAGGCTGGCTTTTTATCATATGTGATATTATTTGAGCGAGGGTATGGGGTCCAGTCAAGGTCTTCGTTGCCACACAGCTTGACATTGGATGTGGGATATGCTGAGGGAGCAATCTTCTGCAGCTCAATTGACATTTGTCTGCACCAGTTGATTAGACATTGCTCGTTTCTGCGGGGATGGGAGCGCTTACGAGCTCATGCTGAAGACACCCCAGGCAGTGATCGTGCGAACCCGTTCCATCTCCGGCAGCATCTTTTTCGACACCGCTGGAATATCAAACAGTCCTATATCCCGTGCTAGCTGAACTGCTTGGCAAAGCATCATCCAGCTTTTTTGGACTCGTCCTTGGCATGTAAATCTGCAAGAAATCAATATCGTGAACATGACTCGTTTGCCACAAATCAGTGGGCAACATACACACAACACATCATGAGGAGGGCTTGAATGTTAGTCAGGTCGTGGCCATCATCTTCGACTTCCCATAATCTTTGTGCCTCATGAAAAAAGTTCTGGCCCCGCGAGAACACGTTCTCAGGGGTGGAAAGAACATCAGGACTATCAGAATAGGCCTATATCGGGGTTAGCTAATGGTTTCGCAAAGGGGTACATTTACGGGATTTATACGCTGGCCATGGACAATATGCTATTGACAAGAAGGGGTGTGCAGAACTCTGATCTTCGATCCCCGAGTTTCATATGTTCGAGGAAGATCCGTTGATCAAGGAACTGCGAGCATGGGTGGTCCCAGGTAAAGTAGAGCGAGACTAGGTGTGAAACCAAATAATTATCATCTGTGACCTTTGTCCACGGCTCTGCCGGCACCTCAAAGAGAGGTATGTCACAAAGGCTCTCCAGAGTGACACGAGCATAAGGGCTAACGGTTGGCCACTGCGAAGGTTTCATGTTTGGGATCTCATCCGGTGTGATAGGAGCACAAGGGCTTGCTGTTGGCCAGTGCGGAGGTTCCATGTTTGTGTTCTCATCCGGTGTGACAGGAGCATAAGGGCTAGCTGTTGGCCACTGCGGAGGCTTCATGTTTGGAATCTCATCTGGCGTGACAGGAGCATAAGGGCTAGCTGTTGGCCACTGCGGAGGCTTCATGTTTGGAATCTCATCTGGCGTGACAGGAGCATAAGGGGTAACTGTTGGCCACTGTGGAGGTTTCATGCTTGGGATCTCATCTGGTGTGACGGGAGAATAAGGGCTAAATGTTGGCCACTGTGGAGGTTTCATGTTTGGGATCTCATCCGGCGTGACAGGAGCATAAGGGGTAACTGTTGGCCACTGTGGAGGTTTCATGCTTGGGATCTCATCTGGTGTGACGGGAGAATAAGGGCTAAATGTTGGCCACTGTGGAGGTTTCATGTTTGGAATCTCATCCGGCGAGCTTGCTATATCCCCAGTGTCTGACGGCCGTCTCACTCCATTGCCCAAAGTTTCTATGGGATGCTCCACATAGTCTAAACCCACTGATTTACTGGCTTCCAACAGTTCTTGGAGGTTTCCGAAGGTCGTGACTAGGCATCCGACAGCATGGGCGATGTCTTGTAACGGAGCCTTTTTCCGGATCAAATCCACCGCTTTGTCAAACTGGAGTTGGTCATCCGACGCGAGGGTACTCAACAAAGACTCTAGTAGATCTTTGTGGTTTGTGAGCTCCTGGATCGTCCGCTTGACAGCAACCTTTCGTCTGAGGTCTCGAGTTGGATCAAAGTAACATGCGGTACCGGCGTTTCGACAAGCTTTACATGGGGCTTCTGGTCCGGAACACTATATCGATCAGATTGCAACAATTAGGCATTTTGTTCCAAATTTTTCAGACAAGGCGGAGAGGGAGAAACGGAAAGGAAAAGCAGGGATCAACTGTGGCGCCGACTCACCTTCCTCTTTGCATGTTTACATGCTAGGCAAGCTGTGGAATTCTTCTTTGGCCTACTGACAGCAGTCGAGGTCTGCGGAGCGAACATGCGCGTCGGCCCCGGAGCCAACGCGGGAAATTGTTTCATGTTCTCATGGGGGCTTATCTTCATTTTCAAAAGATCAGCCTCGTGGCGTATGATCTCCCAAAGGAATGCCTCGGATTTGTTGGCCGAAATATACCACGATTGAAGCTTCCGTGGCAATGGTAATTTTATGAAGCAACGATTGGTAGGAACTGATTTTTGGGACAGTGCAGGAAAAACGATCCTCTATACAAGACTAAGGCACGGTCCTAACGCTTCCTCTTATGGGCCATCGAAATCGACGTCTCCAACGTCTCACCAGCACGATGTCAGGAAGGGGGTAAGTGTCATGTCGCAATGATATGGGCGTCACGGTGCGGTGCGTTATTTACGCATGAAGGTGGGACACAACTAAAAGAAACTATTCTGGAATCGGTCAAAGTGACCAAATTCCACCTGCAGGTGACAATATCCCAAAAGTGACGGGGGGGGGGCGCGTTGGCAAACAGAAGGGGAGGTTTGACGCCCGTCACACAGCCGGGGGTAACCCGGTAGGCCAAGCTCGAATTTAGCAATGATTGGAGGGCTAGAGAATTCAACAACCTGTCAATATAAGCCGATGATATGCAGCAGATGGGTGAAGGGTGGGTGGGGAGGGATCAAGTTGAGACTAGCTTAAGAGATGTCAAGAGATTTGGGGGAGATCGAGGACAACCCGAATATGGAAACCTTAGCAGCTTGACCTAACTTTTCGAAAAAATGAGATACCAAATCCCAAAAAAAAGAAGCCAAGGGCGAACTAAAAAAAAAAAAAAGGAATGAGAAAAAAAGGAAGGAAAAAAAAGACTATGGGAAAAGAAATAGAAATAAAATATATAATAAAAAGGGCGACATCCACCCTCGACCTGTAGGGATGTATCAATACCGGAGGAGCACTAAAGAGGCACTTAGGGCCTCGGTACTTTCTCGGAATACATGCCTTAATTGGAACTCGGGGGATTCTTTGATTATCAACTTTGTTCACTATTGTTTGTCTGGTTTACTCGGGTTATTATATTGCCAGATTGTTGACCTTGTATAGGAAACTCATATGTCAATCACATCTCCCGACCTCCATAACCTCCGCCCTTCTAACCACATTTCACCTTTTTTTTCTCTCTCTCTCTGAGATAACATGTTACAAGGGAACCCCCACCCATGTCAATATTTTATCCTGGGAAGCATTTGTGGGGAATATCGCCCGGTTTCCTAATCCGCCACGCTCACACCACCTACAGCCTTCTCTCTAGGATGAAATCTGGATTTCAACCTAGACGGGAGCCTGGAAAAATAATCCAAACGGCAGGATTCGCAATCTCAAGCCAGAAAATCCAGCACACCGGTTGATGGGACGCCCACGAGATGTGCTGCTAAAACAATGTGATATGGAGTATGTACTCCGTACTATGTAGGATCCACTCACTCCGTACGGAGTACAGAGTAAGGAGTACGGAAGAAAGATCTTCGAACCTTGTCCCGTCCCAAAGTCTTTTCCGCTGTGGATCGAATCGGAATTTGCAACCAGGGGGGAAGAAGATGCATCCCGATTGATCCTCCACCTCACCGGATCTACAGATCCTCAAATGTTATTCTTACCTAGGTAATTATATATTATTATCTTGATACTTGCTATATCCTCCATCTAATCCCTATACTCGTTTGCCGGAGATTTGCTCTTCCCCAACCCAATTTTTACTTGATACATCCCCCATCCCACATAGCTTCTTCCCACGCTTTTCATTGGTGGTTAAAACAACAGCCAATCGGAACCAGAGAAAATTCATTTTCTTTCTTGGCATTCTGTCAGTTTTTCTGAACATCAAGCAACTGGCCTGATTTGCATTCTCGCCGGCAACACTGCACTAAGGGGGGTGTTGCCAGCCACAGCCACCTGGGAGCCTGGGCAACATTTGAAGATTTGAATATCTATATTACTACCCCATACTCCGTAGATATACATCGTATCTTATCTATTGTGTATCCAGCACTACTAACTTGCCGTGGGATTACTTTTCCGAAGGACTCTCCGTATGATAGTCCGGCACTATCTATGCAGATTCTCGGGCTGTCCCAATTAATCTTACAATCGTATAATCTCTTATATTGATAGTGAGTTCCGCGGAGAAAGTTGATTTGTCCTCCCAAAACAAAGAAAAAAAAAAAAAAAAAAGAAACTAAAATTAAAGGAAAGCAAACTTAATGGCCCTTAGCTTAAATGGACTATACATGCTAGCATCGTGTACTCCGTACAGCCGCTTACGCGCCCGTAAACTGAAATTCGAGATAACGCCTGGTCTTAGGCTGTCATTCCTTAACACCCTATTGCTTGAGGTTGTTGGAAACCTAAAAACCATACACGTACTTCGCCCCCTCGTGACAAGTTCCAGCCCTCCTTCGATGCCCAGGATTAGGAGCCAATGAGACTGACTGTGCAGCTGAGATCCCCCTCTTTTCTCTTCCCGTGTGTTAGGCGCATTTCACTTCCCAACAACTGTTTCCCTACCCCTGCGACGCAAAGTACAGTACGGAGTAGATGAAGGTGTAAATTGTCTACAATGTAACATGAGCTACGAATCTCTATCACCTGCATGTGTGATGAAAGTGCCCCCTCGCCTTCATAGGAGAAGACTCCTGCCAAAAACAGAATTAGCGTGAAGCAAGACAATAAAACTGCAGTTATCCTATAGTTTCGGCTGATATGCTCGGTAGTTTCGATTTGAATATTCGACACCAGACCACTTTCGAATCGAATTGCATGTGCTTATCAATATTTGGTTGGATCTGCCTGCCTTTTCCCTTTTTATTCCCAATACAATTTGTACTTTGTACGGGAGTTATACAAATTTTATGTTGTCTGGACAAGAGTGGATGTTCATTTAATTCTCAATGATCCGGAAAAAACAGCCAGATGTTTTTGGTTGGCCGGACATATTCACCGTTAGTGGTTCCAAGGTTCCATGGTTGCCCACTCCCCCCCCGGCTTTTTCAAGGTTTACTAAATTTACCTACAACATAGTAACTAGGTATAACATAGGTATAACTCACTCCAATGACAACGGAATTTGCAGTTTCAACACATATATTTATATGGATGTACTTGCTAATAACAGATCTGAAGTACATATAAGCCTTCCATTTAACTTTTATATCTTAAGAGTTCCTTTTTTTTTTTTTTTTTTTTTACTTTCAGAGAACCACAGCCCGTTGATGCATTGCAGCTGTAGCGGGGTATTTAATTATTTAAGTATTTAAGTATTTTTTTAATTTAAAATACTCAAGCTTACCAAGATCTTTCTCATTATTTGCTTTTCTATTCGACCCAATAAACCCAACTCTTGCATATCTCCAGATATTGGTTTCTGACACCTGCCATTCTACTCCTCCGTACAACATACGCAAGCCATGTTTGCTCTTTTCCTTTCTTTTTTTCTATCTTTTTTATGACCATCGATAATCTTTAGGCTAAGACCAGGTGCAAGTAATACGAGTCAAACAATAGTTCGCTGATCATATACATCATATTATTACATTCCATCTTTGAACTTTGATTTCTCTCACAAACCCCTTGATTCTAACCTGGTCAGTTCTGTATTCAATCATCGGATACCAAAAAGCGATGCTTGCGGCATACGCACATGTCAGTATCCATTCTGCATTATTGGCTTGAGATCTATCACATATCAAGGAAGTACCATCCTGGAACTTGCTAGATCACGCCTTTGCGAGTATACCTCGTGGTGAGTGATAACTACCGACCAATCGGCCGAACAGCAGTCTCGGCCATATCACGGTTCTTGGCAAATGTACAAAGCATTATTCCCTTTTTGTGGTATCTTGTCCAAAATCGATAGCCTGTAGCCATGGCTTAATCGTGTCAAGCCCATTCACACCTACTGGCATTGGCGTGCCCAGGCGGATAACAAATTCTCAGATCATAAACTGTAAAATTAAGATGAATGAATAGATACTTAGTTACGTAATGCATTCTGTTATTTGCAGCAACCACTTTCAAGTAGAACAAGCACATCAATTTAAAAATGGACTAGATAGATACATGTTGATAGATGCTTCCGGAGGCAAGACGATCGATATCTTACAGCTGCCAATCCACCCACCGAACGGCAGAGTTGCTTCAATTTATCAATTCATCAATTCAGGCTATTCCGCCCTTAACCCCGCCTCCGAATATCGCAATGTACTCGGGGGTCATTTCTCTTCTTGCTTTTGCCGCCTTCGCAAAAAGCGTAGGAGCGCTCGCATGTCGAGAACACCAAGTCCATCCGGAATAACAGGGGAAAGTTCAGTAGATCCACCATCCTTCGTGCTCAGGATACCATAAATGCTGAATCTTACTTACATCGCTGGTGGTACCAATGGCCCTCAACTTGATTGCGACGGCGCTCAATCCCGCCTCGTCCGCTACCTATCCCATGTCGGGAATGAATAGGAGGAGAGCGGTGGCGAATAGGAGAATGGTCTCCTCAACCTGCTTTTGTGATACTTCTCCTTGATCTTCTCAACACTCCTCATACTGGTAATCGAGTTCGATATATAAGGGTCTGTCACTACATGAGAAGAAGCTGCCGCAGCTAATGAAGCCACCTGACTTAAGGTATCAAAGTATGTTAACAAGCTAATTTTAACTTTTCATCTTGACAAGATACCTTAGCACATATATATACTATTGGAGATTCTTGACATAGGATGAATGAGTACAAGAAGGTAGTTATATAAGAAATATCAAAAGAGAGACGCCTAAGAATGAATAATCTTGACCAGAGTGTATAAAAGTGGTCTTCGACGCGGCTCTTGAAATGAAAGAATAGAAAAAAGACCTTGATTGTTTGGTGATAAAACCCAGGGAATCAGCCCTGATATGTGCTTCGGTACCAGGTACCAGGTAGACATTTTGGGACTCGAAAATAAAAAGGGACCACTTCGAACCAGCCCGGCGTTGGCTGTCTTAATAGAGGTGTCGAGAGACGGATGACTTGCGACTTACAGGAAGCAAAAACGTCGGTTAACACCGCGGAGACAGATGCTAGCAG